GGCCTCGGCAAAACTCACACCCCCAATTCCCACCCAGTATTGGTGCAGTACACAGGGAAACTGAGGCACACACTGTATTCACATAGGACAGGAAGACTCGCATGCAACATAATGAGATGAATAAACCCACTGCGTCACATCTCGTGTCTTTCAAAAGTTTCCGTGCAGGGATTGCAGTTTGGGCGCTGTCTGTTCAACCAACCGCCTCAGTTTTGCGCAGTTCCGCTTTCGGAAATGAAATGCTGCCGTGCTGGGCCGCTGGGGTGTTTTCCCCGCCGCAGGGATGTTAAATTGAATTCTATTACGGTCGCTATTACCAAGAGCTCCAGCTATATTCACCTCTCGGACCAGATCCTGCGCTCCACTTAGGATGAACTCAAGACTTGCCTCTCCTTGGGTGGGTTCCAGGACTAGCTGCTCCAAGAAGCAGTCATTTAAGATGTCAAGAAACTGTATCTCTGCCTCCCGTCCTGAGGGGACATGGAGCCCATCAATATGGGGAGAGTCGAAATCCCCCATTATTATTGAGTTTTTTATTTTTGTAGCCTCTCTAATCTCCCTGCGCATTTCACAGTCACTATCGCCACGCTGGTCAGGTGGTCCGTAATAGATCCCTACCGCTATATTCATATTATCCGGCATGGAGTTACAATCCAGAGAGATTCTGTGGGACAGTTTGGGTCATTTAAGATTTTTTACTGGATTTGATTCTACGCTTTCTTTCACATCTAGTGCCACTCCAACAGCGTGACCTGTTCTGTCCTTCCGATAGATTTTGTACCCTGGAATTACTGTGTCCCATTGATTATCCTCATTCCACCAAGTTTCTGTGATGCTCATTATATCAATCTCCTCATTTAATACGAGGCACTCTAGTTCACCCAGCTTGGTATTTAGACTTCTAGCATGGGTATATAAGCACTTTAAAAACTTGTCACTTTTTAGCTGTCTGCCATTACGTGATGTAATTGAATGGGACTCTCTTCATTTGACTGTTTCTCATCAGATCCTACCTGTATTTTATCATCTTCCATCCTCTCCTCCGTACTAGGACATAGAGAATCTCCATGAACAGATCCTCCTCTAAGGGATGGCTCGGTCCGAACCACGTGCTCCTCCGCACCTCTCGCATTTTCCCCCAGCCCATGGTTTAAAAACTGCTCTACGACCTTTTAATGTTAAGTGCCAGCAATCTGGTTCCAGTCTGGTTTCGGTGGAGTCCATCCTTCCTGTACAGGCTCCTCCTTTCCCAAAAGTTTCCCCAGTTCCTAATGCAGCTAAACCCCTCCTCCCTACACCGTCCTCTCATCCCCACATGGAGACCCTGCAGCTCTGCCAGCAGCAGGTGGCGGTCAGGCCGGGGAGGGGAGTATGGGGGCAATCTTGGGGCTTGGGTGGGGATCAGGGCGGGGTCTCTGGGTCTGGCTTCAGCAGACCCCCCCAGTGTGGTGTGTGTGGGGGGGGCAGGCTGTACACTGACCCCTCCCCCCATGCCCCCCCCAGCGCGGCGTGGTGTGGGAGGAGGTGCTGATCATGCTGCCGGAGCACGTGAACATCATCCTGCTGAGCGCCACCGTCCCCAACACGCTGGAGTTCGCCGACTGGATCGGGTGAGGCGGGACCCGGGGGTGAGAGTGGTGGGGACAAGAGGGTGCGGGCTGCGGGGGTTGGGGAGGATCTGCGGGGGGTAGGCAGGGAAGGGGGGGCTGTATTGTGGGGGGGCTGGGAGGATCTGGGGGCGTGGGGATATGGGGGTTGTGGGGAAGGGGGGTGTATTGGGGTTGGGAGGCTGGGGGCAGGCAGGTGCTGACACCCCCCCGCCGCCCCACAGGCGGATCAAGCGGAAGCGGATCTACGTGATCAGCACCCTGCGGCGCCCGGTGCCCCTCGAGCACCATCTCTACACGGGCAACAGCCACAAAACCCAGCACGAACTCTTCCTGCTCCTTGACGCCCGCGGCACCTTCCTCACCAAGGGGTGAGCCCCCCACACCCCCCCAGCGCCGGGCCGGGGGTCTCCCTCACCCACTGCCCCCTGCACCCCCAGCGCCGGGCCGGGGGTCTCCCTCACCCACTGCCCCATGCACCCCCAGCGCCGGGCCAGGCGTCTCCCTCACCCACTGCCCCATGCACCCCCAGCGCCGGGCCGGGTGTCTCCCTCACCCACTGCCCCATGCACCCCTAGCGCCGGGCCGGGTGTCTCCCTCACCCACTGCCCCCCCTCCCCCCCGGGCTCCCTACGAACCCCCAGCGCCGGGCCGGGCGTCTCCTCTCACCTAGGGTTGCCATATTTTAATTTAAAAAAAGGACACTCCACGGGGCCCCGGACCCGCCCCAACTCCGCCCCTTCCCTGCCCCCAGCCCCGCCCCAACTCTGCCCCCTCCCCTGAACGCTCCGCCCCCTGCTCCTCCCCCTCCCCTGCTTCCCGTGGATCAAATGTTCGTGGGAAGCCTGAAACAGGGAGGCAGCAGGTAAGCTGGGTCTGGGGCGGGGCGGGGGGCGGCCCAGTCCGGCTCTCCCGGCCAAGCAGCTCCCTCCGGCGGCCAGCCGGCCCAGCCCAAGAGGCTCTGGCCCCGGCGTCTCCTGCCCGGTTCGGCTTGGGCCCTGGGGTGCCGGCCCTCGGCCGAGCAGCCCCGGCCCCCGGCCGAGCACCACCGGCCCCTCCCCGCCGGCCCCTCCCTCCCTATTTTCCCGAACATGTCCGGCTTTTTGGGATTTCCTCCCAGACGGGGATTTGAGGCCCAAAAAGCAGGACATGTCCGGGAAAATCCGGACGTATGGTAATCCTACCCTCGCCCACTGTCCCCCCAGGTACTACGCGGCGGTGGAGGCGAAGAAGGAGCGCTCCAGCAAACACGCCCAGACCTTCGGGGCCAAGCAGCCCACGCACACGGGCACCGGGCCGGGCCAGGTCAGCACCGGGGGTCACGGCAGCGGGGGGGGGGGGGGGGGAGGAGGCTGTCACTGTGATGTGACAGGCTCCGGGGCGACAGTGGGGTGTGATGGGAGGTGGGTACGGGGGTGTCCTGGGGACTGGGGCAGGCATGGGGGGGTGCTGCTGTTGGGGGGGCAATTCAGGGGGAATATGGGGGGGCAGGGGGGAGACGCAGGGGAGCTCAGGGCCCTGGCGTGACCCCCCCCCGCCCCTCCCCTCCCCAGGAGAAGGGCGTGTGGCTCTCGCTGATGGACGCGCTGCGGAA